CTCGTTTTGTTATATATATATATATATGTATATGTATATGCGTGTGCGTGCGCGCGCGTGTGTGAATTATGTAAAAATTAAAGTATAGGTGTTAGATATATAAATACATACAAATTGAGTGGTATGTATTTAAATCTTTAAAATATAAAAGCAAACTTGGCATTTTCTTATGAGAGGATTTAACTTGGAGCTGTGTGCAACAAAATATCAAGATACTCATAGGTATACTGTATATCTAAAGAAGCTGGGTGCTATAGACAAACCTGTGATTCACTGAAAGTGATTTCAGGAGAAGAAGATAGTCCTGCAAGATCATGCTCCATATATTCAAATACGAGATATATACTGCATGATGATCTGGAAGTGATCAAACCATCCAGCTTCATGATATTACGATGGTTAAGTCTGCGCATGATGAATATCTCTCGTGCCATAAATCTGACACTCTCTGGTTCAAAATTGTCGAACCTGATCTTCTTCAGAGCAACGAACCTTCCAGTTTCAAGTTCACGTGCTTTAAACACACTACTATAGGTTCCCTGACCAATCTGGCGTTACAGGGCAGACTAGATAGTTAAGTAGAAGACGGCATTATATGGAATAAAATCATTGTGCCTAAAACCAAAAGAGGAAACTAGACTAATCAAGCAGAATGAACAAAATTGATTGGAAAATAAAGATATGAAATTTTCTACAATTTAAAGGGATGGTAGCGAGTAGTTATTTTGTACATAACAATGTTTTGGGTGCATTGTATGTAAATGCTCCTTTTTTAAAATGCACATAATATCAACCACTTCATGGTTCTAAACTCTCCTATAAATTTAAGAAAATTCTTCATCACAATGCACTACAACTATTTCTACATTGTAGGAGTCGTTTAGCTACAAGTAGGATTTTACTTAAATCAATGTTTAAAACTGCTAAATCGTGATAAACTATTTAGCTAATTGATTATACAATTTTACCAAAAACTTAAAAATGATGAGTGCATCTGACATGAAGCATAAACCGAGATGAAGAATCACAAAAAAAGTACATATGTAGCACAAAATTCTTATGTGTTTACATATCTCACGCCTAAACCTTCATATTTACATACACAGCACTTTGGTGCTTTAAGCCTATGCATACAACGGTGTAACTCACTTTTAAAAAGTGACAATAGGGCTATTTTTTATGTGATATTAAAGATTTGAGCGCTATGTCTGTAAGTATGAAAATATAGTTGCGAGATATGTAAATGCATAAGAATTGTGTGCTATGTATGTAAATGCCCCTAACAAATGTGGTCATATCTACTTTTAAAAAAGTTACATATAATTTAATAATTTTACTTAAATGAACTTTTTTGCATCTCAAAAAAACTTCCATCCACTTCTTTTCAATTCCTTCACTTTTCCCTCAAGCAACATAATGCCTTAGATACCTTTTCCATCTACCTTCTCTGGTATATTCCCATCTCCAACTTGGTCTTCTCCTACGTTTAATTGCAACCTAAACCAAAAGCTCTCATCCTACTTCCACCAAGCCCTCTTAACTCGCCTCAGTCTTTTGGTCCCTGTACCATCTCCTCCATCTTTAAGCAATATAACCAAAGAAAGTTAAGCAAATGCGCATATTTCTAATCCTTTTCCATAAAAAAAAAGAGTGGCTTTGTCCTTGGTTTCGTGAGTTCTAGTGCATAATTTGTGGCTGTCATTAACCATCTCATGTCACCGATATAAAAGGCTCTTTGATCATTAAATAAATATTAGAAAACAGCAAGCCAAAGAAGAACAAAAAATGTGATCTTTATCAATGTTAGTTTCGGATTGCCATTAAAAATCCTTGTTCACCATTCGAAGTCATCTTAAACTCTACCAAGGAATCATCCCAGCATCAAATCAAAAATCAAATCCATTTACCTTCTCCAATTTCTCATAGGCCTCAGGTTTAAGCGGAACCCACCCCTGAATCGCTTCCCTAGCAACCGCACTCAACCAAGACGGCCAACCCGCCGCCACCAGCTCGCCGTCAACATGTTTGTTGAAATTCCCCAACTTAAAACTCTGCGAATCAGTGCCATTCGAGCTAACCTTCCCTGATTCCTCGGATTCGCTCCGATCAACTTCAATCCTATTCCACAATGCCGAATTCAAAATCCCACCGGACACCTCAAGATTGCCGGAGACCCCAGAGGACTCCACCGGCGTCAATGGCTCCGGCTTTTTTGAAGCCACGCAGCCCATTGTGGCCGAACAATTGCATTAGCTGGATGTGTGAACTACCTGCGAATTCCCGGTTGAGGGAGCCGCCGGAGAAGAGGGTTTAGGGTTAAGTAGGGGTATCGGGGGAAGGAATCGAGATGAAGGATTGGATTGGGAGCGATGAGGGAGATGTAGATCGAGAAGGAGGTGGTTGGAGTTGGAACCCAGAATAGAAAGGTTTCACCGTTCATCATCTCTCTCTCTTGTTTGGGTCGATTTGATGCGCTTTCGAATTAATGAACTCCACAGTACGTAATTCCAGAATTTGTTCGGCTGCCAAAAAAAATTAATAATTTTATAAAAAAAAATTAAATTGTGAATAATATTTTAATATGACCAGGATTTACAAATTATAGTTTGAATAAATATTATAAAATTAAAATTATATCAGAATATTAATTAATAAACCTAAGTCTACATTATTTAAAATATAAGCAAAATATATTCATGAAATTTAAGATTTAGCAATGTCTCAAAGCATCATTTTTTTTTTCATGCAAACGTTAGAATTTGATGTATTGAGATTCTTCACTTTATTTTCAGCTTTCGAACGATAAAATTTCATCAAAATTCAAACTTAGCTTCCATTATAAAGAGTGAAGTGTCAAAATAGTCATCAATTATTTTAAAATTAAACTCTAATAAACCTCTATATGGACTATTTTAACCACAATTTAAAGAGTCGGAGGATTAATTTTACACTTCTATAAACTCTATGATTAAATGACTATATGTAAATAGTCACGGAATATTTAGGAGCTGATTAGTGCCGGAAAATCTGTGGCAGTAGAATAATAAATTATCGTCTTAGCGTAGTACGAGATTCACCAAACACATAATAAAAAGAAAAGTAGCAGAATAAAAAACCTCGATTTTTACCTGGCTTAGAAAAGGAAAAAAGTACGGGGTTGGCCCAGTCGATGTAATCAACCAAGGAATTGTAATTATATAGTCTCACTCTTTTATTAAATTAGATAAGATTGAATTATAAGGTTGAGGTACAATGGTATTCCAACAAAATAGTTGTAGCAGGTCGCAAAGACCGTAGTTGATTATTATGAAGGCAACAATATGCCATGAATTTCGTACACGATTGTTGCAGCTCACTTGTCATAGAGGTTGTTGCTGAAAGCTGTGATAGTAGTTGGTTATGTAGGTCGATGGTGGTAGCTTCATGAGCGTTAATTGACCACTGTTGTCGTAATAGAGAACTATGATAGCGTTCGTAGACCTTAGAGGCTAAAGTTTAGAGATTGCATTAGCTGCGAGTCACGTAGGTCATAGTTGATCACATAGGTCATAGCGGGGAGGTATAATAACACTTATGAGTTGCAGAGGCCAAACTTGGGAGTTGTGTGAGCTCTGAGCCACGTAGGTTGTAGTTGGCCGCATAAGTCATAGTGAAGTGGGGAGTTGTAGTAGAATAGTTGGTCATCAAGCATGTAGTAAAGCACTATAGTTCCTACTTTAAAAGAGAGCTTCATCCTAGCTCAGAGAAGGATCATTGGAGCTTCGCCTGAACTTCGTCAGAGCTCAAAACTTCACTTGAATCTGGCTTCATTATCTCTCCTACCACTAGGAGAGATTCTTCCAGAACAAACATCGAACTTCAATCAACTATTACGGTGGTGGGACTCCTTAAAATTTTGTTCTTTCTTTCATTAGGGCCCCTAGGTCTAGATGTTAGAGAATCTAGGTTAGGATTCTTAGTGTTCCTTTAGAGTAAGAGAGAAGACACCTCGCTCCTTCACTGGCCAAACTCCTCCTCAAAATGGGTCTCCTTACACACTTAAGTGATTTGGTGGAGGAAAAGGAAGAGGAAGAGGAAGAGGAAGAGGAAATATTGGTGGAAGAGGAAGAATTAGGTGCGGGCTCTTGGAGGCAAACCCCTTCTCTCAGCCTTCCTTAGTGTTCTCCACTCAAAAGTCTCCAAGAAATTCTTCCAGCACCAAGGAAGAGGACCGGTCTAGCTTTGACCACCTGGAGAAGAAGAACTCTTCAAGAAGAACCCCTAGCCAGAATGGGACCTTTTTGCCTTGGTTGCTCCTCCTCTCTTTAATAGATTTGCATACAACCGCCTTCCTCCAAGCCTCCCAAGTGTCCAAAAAGTGGACTCATGGCAACTTCAACGTTGCCCCCTTTGATTATTCCCTAATTATCCCCTTAAATATGCTCTTCAGCTATTTAAAAGGTGATTTATGATGGGTTTTGACAGAGGTGTTAAGAAAAAAACGGGGCCAAATACGTGACCTGACACCTGGGCACCATACCTGACGCCTTGACACTAGGTGCCTAACTCCTAGACGATGTGGTTGGAACCGACTTTCCAGGGGCTCGAGAAATCCTGCATAAAAGGGTTCTAGGCATCCATGACTGACGCCGATACTCTTTGAGCTCTAGGTTTGGAAGCTCTAGAGAGAAATATGGGCGCTTAGGCGTCTAGTCTGGCACCTAGGTGCTAGGATGCTTGCGGCTTCTCATTGATCTCTATGATTTTAGGCTCCCGAGGGGTTGTTTTAAGTGTCAAGTTGTCCGAGGCTGGCGCCTAGGCACCGGTCTAGCCCCAAAAACCTTGTTTTCACCTGAAAGGTCAAACATATGATTTTCTTGATCTGAAAGCCATAGAGAAATAAAATATGATTGAAATATGTCTCATAATTCCAGAAATAAATAGCTCTGGTACAGTGTTCTAAGCCTCAATCTTCCCGAGAACGCATATGGAAAGCTTATATGGGTTCCTTTAACCACGAAAGGCTTCATATGGATATTATATGGTCTTGAAACACAAAAACAAGCCTCCAAACACATATCATGTCCCGAGTATGCCCGCCCAACAACAGATTCTCCCTGGTAAGGTCAAACCATCGAGACCCTCGTTTTGTGCCCTGAACACATACCAGAAGGTCTCAGATGGGTGTCTTGAGCTACAAAATGCTACGAGTGAGCAGTGAATCATCAAGAGCCAGTCAAGCGCACAACCTACATATCTGACAATAAAAATTGACACTCAACGATTGTTTTTGGTTTGTCTTGCGATTCTTTTAGCTTTGACCTTACTTACTTTGCCTCAAACAGCTTCATTCGGTCGGACAAGCTGGCCTTATAATCTTATGTTGGCGAGCCTTCCTTCATCGCACTCTTTTCTTTTGAACTATTAGATTTCCTCAGGATCAACTTGTCATATTTTTTTATATACACACATCTGACCTGATCAAATTTTATTCAAGATATCCTCATCCAAAATTTATGCAAAAACTCATTTTGATGCTAACCTTTTTTTGCATTTTTTTTATTTATACTATTTTCTATCATTTTATTTCAGTTATCCATTAATGCTTATAAGAAAGCGTTAATCTCCATTCATTTTGCATTGCGATTAGTGCTGTTGTTGATGTAAATCTCTATGAACGATGGAATGAGGACTTGTGAATCAATGATTAATGTAAGTTAAGATGCCTGTATTTCAAAATAAGAAAAGAAATTAATTTTTAATTGGACCCCCCAATATCGACATTATTATTAATATATTTCGTAGCCAAATACAACACAAAAACTATTATAATTCAACAGATGACAATTTGAAGACCGCATGCACTTATACTAATTATAAACTAATCACGTCTTCTAATCCAGCCATTAAGAAATGAAAGACGTAATTGTTTCCTGGCAAAATATTAAAAAATGGACATTTACATCCATACCACCCAATTCATATTTATTTACATATCTAACATTTAACCGTTACCTTTTTGTAAGCCTCAACCATCATGTTAAAGCATGTATGCAAAAAAAATGAAGTTTGAGAGTTAGATATGTAAATACAAAGGATTTGAGTAGTATGCATGTAAATCTTCTAATAAAAAATGATTTCAGATGCACCCCTTAAAATATATTTGATGTCCATGAAGTTCTATAGAGTTTCAGCGGGAGCATCTTTTAGAGGAAATATTGCATCATGACTCTACACATAGAGTTATGTGCGGAGTTCAATGAACTCACGTCACATGACGATGACAGAAAAAATAAATAAAAGATGTCCGATAACACAAGAAAATATTCCTCCCATGTTATTCAAGTGTTAATGTGTTATTATAACACCGAGAATATTCTCAAAACACAATAACACGAAATAATACAGGGGAATATTTTCCGGTGTTACCAGACAGATTTTTTTTTTTGTCACCTCCACGCAGCGTGATTTCACTGGACTCCACACGCAACTCTACATTACGTGCAGAGTCCTGATGTAATATTTTTCCCATCTTTTAACCAAACTATAGTTAGTCCTTCTTTCAATATGATTAGAGTCAATGATCCTGGTGGTCAATATTGCTCTAAAAATTTTTGAAATGAAAAAATGATGTCATAATAGTGTAAATGTCAAAAGTAAAATTATCTCTTTCTTTGAAGTCATCTCTAGAAAATTTGCAATTTTTTTTTTCTTGCTATTATTTGGTTGGTATTTAAATTCTAGAATTTAATTAAAATAATGGAAGACATTAAACACTTGGACTCATACAAAATAAATCTTTGGCCTAATAAAAAATTTAGATTTTTTTGTTAATTGTGTGTTTGATGGATGTTGGACGAAAGTGTGATAATCAAATTCTAAGGGGTGTTTGTGATAATGTTTAGTTTTAGTTTTTTTTTTAATTTTTAATTTTTAACTTTAATTTATTTTATTTAAGCTTTTACTTGAAAAAAATATTTTGATATATGTTATAATATATTTAATTGCTTTTACAAATACTAAAATCAACTTTTAGGAGCCAAAATTCTCTACTTATTGAATTATTTTTCTATTTTATTTTATTCTAATTATTTTATTTTTAGTTTTACAAGATTTCATGAATTTAATTAATTTAATAAAAACTTTGGAGTAATTTGGGAATTAGGATCACTTTTGATTTTTTAAATTTTTATTTTAATTTTATTTTGTTTATATTTTTTTTATTTAAATAAAACAAGTTCAGTATCTTAAAACATGTATAATTATTTTTAAAAATACTCAAAGGAATTTTTAGATATTTTAAGTGTTTTTTTTTTTAAATTAATTTATTTTTAAAATCTAAAAAAATAAAAACAGGTCTTACATGTCCAAAACACCATTGACAACTAATTTTATTCGTCATTAGAATGGAATTGCAAAAGGCAATTGTTTTTGCCATACTCTAATAAATCAAGTACCAGCACTGACTGATCATCTGTTTCAAATGTGTAGCACATTAGTTGAAAATAAAATGAATATTTACAAGATGTTGGATTCGAACCCGCACTTTAATTGTATTTTTTGATGTTGTTTAGATTATCTTCATTATAACTTAAAACCACACATTTGAATCATTACAAGAGCCTATGAAAATCCCTGTGGAAATGCACTTTAATCCCTTGAAAAGGAAGAATTTGCTTCACACTGACAGCAACATCATGCAAATTATACCCATTGTAAGATTTCATTATAGAAAAAAATTTACAAATATTGTTTTGACATATATTAACATATATCTCATTGATTATCATATGAATTTAAACACACTGAACAAAACAAGACCTGAAGAGTACAAAAAGGAATGAATCATTGTTACAATACAACATGAAAAAAAAACATAAATACAGGCATCAAATTTGATATAAAAATATAATCAATCTAAAACATTTCACTTGTATTTTCTGTTTCTGTAAAACTTATTATTCCCTGTGAGGCTGCAGCTAAAACAACATGATGATGGATCTGAAACCATCAGTATTTCCGAAAAAAATACAGTCGAAATTTCTATACGATTTCGTGTTCTTCTTTCAGTTGAAAAACGGGAATTGGTCGATGCACGCCAGTTAACGGATCATTCGATCTTCCATGAATATTCTGATTAGCGGATATGATATTTAGAGGTTTCGAGCCATTGGATGCAATGGCGGGGGGGGGGGGTTATGGCTGCTGTTTCGAGCCGCAGGTACGTCATGATTATGCTTCCCTTCATATGTCGTTATGACTGCTTTGGGATCTTTCGACGCCCTTTCAACATGCTTGCGAACGCTGCATCCTCCATAGGTGCACTTGTAATAACTCCTGCAAAATTATAGCAATAATAGTTTTTAGGGGCATTTACATGCATATCACCCAATTCCTATGTATTTAGATGTCAAACACCTAAACTTTAATTTTTTTACATTTATACTACTCACATCTTTCATATCACATTAAAAATACATTTTTGTAAGCATAGGTAAGGTGGCATATATCTAAAAATTGAAGTATAGTCTAGAAAGGAGATTGGATGAGAGGAAGACCTTGGATGAGGATTTCCTTTGACTACTTTTTGGCCATATTTGCGCCACCTATAACCATCATCCAGGAGATCCACTTCGCTTGTTGTCTGCACAATGATCCTTGGTTCTGTTACTGTCCTATGAGAAGCTGACTCCATCATCCTGATTTCCAAAATAAAAACAAGCGTTAATCTTCTCAACAACTAGAGTAAAATAGGTGAGGTCAAAGCATCTAGCCATAAATTCAAACCTTTTCTTCTGGTCAGGATCACCAAAATATCCTCTTTCATCCATTCCATCATGATCACCGACTTCCTCGCCGTCACTAGAGCCCGACAACTGCTCATAGGCGCCATTTCCAGATTCCCGATCTCTTTTCGATAAACCAGTGATAGCATTACCATGGGAAAGCGAATCCGAATTCGTAGCAAATACATTGTGCCCATTTAACTCAGCTGCACCATTTGACATGTTAGCATCTTTTCCTCGCTTATTCGATGGAGGTTTCGGGTGGTTGTGTTTTCCCTTGTAGATAATCTCGGTCACTTGTCCGTCAAGAGAACGTTCGACCTTTTTCTTCACGGGACAGTTCGGATGGGTGCATTTGTAATAGCTCCTCGGATATTCGCTTCCCTTCACCTGTTTCTGCCCATACTTCCGCCAATTGTAACCATCGTCGACAGGCTTATCGACGACAATAGGCATTGGACGAGGTATTTGATCAGAAAGAGAGGCAATAGCGGCCTCAGAGCTATGAGTGTTCGAGTCTAGAGTCATGGGAGACACATGTACGACTTTTGACAACTTAGCGGTGGGGAACGACTGTGATAAGGAGGCTGACAAAAGAGGTGACGGATTCTCTGGCGGCATATGCATTTGTAATTGAGAATGTGTAGCATGTTGATGTGCCAATCCATATTGTCCCTACATCAATTTATGTTCAATAATATCAAGTTACATCATATGAATATTAAAGAGTAAGTGCGACATATGAGGTGCATATTTTAGTGTATAACAAATTTTGATAAAAGAAAGCGGACTCAAATAGTTGGTACAAGTTTTGTAATTCGTAAAATGATGATGATGATGAATATTATAAAAGAGAACTTGATTATTGTTGTGAAGATAGTTTTGATCGGTAGAGTTAGTGACATGAGTTTTGTTGGGTTTGGATCAAAAAAGTTTATAGTGCGACATATGTGATGTAAAAGAAATTATGGAAAATTTTTGTGGAGATTTGTAGGGGGTATGGATAGTCAACCAAAAGTGGAAACTCTATTGCACTCAATAGATAGCAATCAAATTAACTTTACATTACGTATCAATTCTTTCAAAAGCAAGTTTTTTAGATCTAGCATCAGCCTCATCCATTTAAACAGAGATTGAATGTGTAGCCACATTAAACAACTAAAAAAGTTCACTTCCCATTATTAATTAATGCTCTTAAATGTACCCCTTTAGCACATTAGGCTCAATTTTCAAAGCAAACTAAAAGGCCAAACATAAATTTTCCTTTTAGAGTCTAATGAAAATATGATATTATACACGGAGGCAAACTCAAAAATTTAAGAAGATGAATGTCAAAATAAAAAATCATGAGGTGGCAAGCATTTAAAATTTAAATTCTTTCTTAATTTTTTTAAAAATTGTTATAAACATGATTATAAAATTTAAATTACAATTAATATTAAATTATACTAAATAATTAAATAATTAAGATTATGAGTGGAGAGCAAAATTTTTATTGTATTGTATGATAAAAGTAAAAATGTAAGAATTTCAAGTTCAAAATCTTCTCACCAGCCTAAAAAAAGCAAAATCTTCAATTATAAACGTAATGAAGAGAATATTTTATTAACTTGAAGAGAATATTCTCATAATATCTTAAAAAGTCTTTATATTTGCTTGCAAAAAAATTTTTTTTTTTTTTTCTCATGGAAAAAATCTTTAGTTTGATCCAACGGTATATCAGTGTCAAAATTATAAATACTTATTTCATGAAATAAAATATTACTATGTAGTAGCCATGATAATAATAATTTCAAATACATATCATGTTTTCCTCCCAAACAACCTACAAAAGGTGACTCTGCCAGTGATTTAAGATGATGAAGGATCAGTAGTTCTTGTATGAGTAAAAAGTAAAAACCCTAATGAATCCAAGTTGATTCACCATTTATCAGATTTTTTTTTAAAAAAAACTTTTTTTTTCAATATAAACCTTCTTGATATTATAACTTGGGCTTAAAAATCATCCATATCACCATTATAAAACTTTCCAACCTCTAAACCATCAATTTCAGGTTCAAAGTTCCTCTCAACTCCCACTGTTCAAAGGCCACGACCACATAACAGCATAAAAAAGCCACCTTTGCTTCTGTAAATGTCCTTCTATAAACCCTAATGATGAACCCTAGCCGTTAGAAGTCGTAATTGAATTAAAATATCCAATAATCCTCAATCTCCATAATTAGACTTGTAATCATTTCAAAAACTCAAAACTCACTCTAGTTTTAATCAACTCCAATTTGAAATTGATTTAATTCAAATATATTCCGAAATTAGAAAATTACTCGCAAACTTTAAAAGTTTGCCTGGAATGAGCTTCACAATTACTCAAAAGTGATAATTTTTTTACTCGAGAATAAAAAAATTCAAATTTGAAACAGTTTAGGATTGAGTTCTTAAAGAGAAACCCACCGAATTAGACGCAAACATGGCCGGGAAATCAAGCAAGCCACCGGGGCTTAAATCCGTTGCCGCCGTGAAGAACGGCGACTGCCCCACCAACATATTCATCGGCCGGCCTTGCCCTAAATTCAAACCCCGTCCTCTCCGATCCCCCGCCACCTCTTCCGCCGCCGTTCTTGCAGTCGGCGACGTCACCGCTCCGGCGAGAAGCTGCGAGAAGGATCGACACTCCGATTCAGGATCCTCCGAGAAGAAGCTCGAGACCAAATTCATCGGATTAGGGCTTGCTTCAGCAGGCTCGAGGCGGAAGAGGCTTTCAACAGTGGGACACGAAGGGAGAGAAACTGAAGGCCGCTTCGCCTCCGCTATAATGTTTTCCTCCATGGAAAAGGGGTGAAGAAGCTCGAGAAGCTAAGCCATGGTTGCGCGAATGAGGAAAAAAATCCAATTTTTTTCCCCTGATTCTGTTCTCATTTTTGCTGTGTTTGGGGGTTTTGTATTGATTTCGGTTTGGAAGATTTTGTGGAGCTTTGTTTTGGACTGATATGAGGTTTTTGGAGGGAGGGAAAAGATTGGAACTTTGAAGAAGTCGACGTTGTGGAAATCTGTACACGAATGAGAGAGAAAGAGAGAGAAAGAAAGGCAACTCACTCCGAATTACTTTTGATGAAAATGATGAGCGTTGACTAAATTACAGAGAACAGGTTGTTTGTTGTAAAACGTTTATTACCTTTTTTCTTTTCTTTTCAGCTTATCTTTGCTTTTAAATAATGAAGAATTTACATACATACCACTATTATTATGTATTTACATATCTAACAACTATATTTTAGTCTCTACATACATAACATCTTACCTATGAGTTAAAAAATGTATTTTATTTTTTAAAAGTTTAAAAGGTGATATTTTTTGACGTGATATGAAAGATTTAGACGATATAATTGTAAAAAATTGAAGTTCAGGTGTAGATATGTAAATACGTAAGTATTGAGTGGTTATCTATGTAAAGTTATTTAAGCCTTGAAAAAGAATTTTAGCAAATGACCTCAAGCACTAGCTCAATTCATTTGCATTAATATGTTTAAAATATGCTAGCTCGAGCTCAAACATTTCATGTCATGAGCGATATTTCTATGGAGTTTGGTTCAAGGCTTTACAACAATCATGTTTTAAGCAACTTATGTTGGAGAAATACTAAACCTCTTTGGTGGCAACAATTGAGATCTCAATTGGCATGATGTTAGAGATACTAATTATGTCATGGAATGTTATATATGATATATATGTCATGAAATATGTTTATGAAAAAAAAGGCTAGCGACAATGTCATGAAATATTATATACAGAAACATGAATTGATGAGTTTTTTATGAAATATGTGAGTTAGTATTATGAACCTCATACTAAATGAGAGATAAAAGTCTGAACATAAAAAATGATATGATATGATTGTCAACATGCTGAAAATGATGACACCCATATGTTATGCTAGTTGACTTTTATTATAGCAATATAATATGATATAACTTTAACAGACTTGTTATAATTGCTACAAAAAAATAAATGAATTTATTAACTATAACACCTAACTTTCAAATATACTTAAGATGATACACATCTCTTGTATTACTATAAATGACAAAATAAAGTACACAGGTTATTATTATTGCTATATAAGAGCTTACACTACACATGATATTAATATGGGATATTTTATCATATATTGTATTCTACATAAGATAATTGCATATACTGAAAAAAAAACTATTTATTTATCATATATTTACTACTTTAATAAAATGTTTCTTAGCATACATATTGCATTGATTATAACTAAAGATTTTGTGTAAGCAATAGGTTATTTACTCCCTTCTATTGTATTGCTTTTTTTTTTTCATGAGAGGGTAAGGTTCTAGTGGAGTGAACTATTGATTTGCTCATTAGATTACCTCTTTCATTTATATAAATAAATATTATGCAGCTACTAAATGATTTTACTTTGATGGATTTATCATAGCACTATGTTATCATGTATGGATAATTCTAACATAATTATTATAGTATAGATAAATATACATTGGATGTTGACTTTGGCTTATATTTTTATATTGGATGATAGTGTGGTTTTATAATATAAGATTTAGATGATAAGAAAATCTTTCATGAGATCTGTCCCAAAATAAAATTTAATGTATCATGATAAGGCCTAGAAGAGATATCAAGCATGAGTTATTTTTATACATACATGCATCTTGTAGTATATGTTGGTCATCAAAATTGTGCAACCAAGTTTATTTGACATTATGTTGCTCCAATGATTCACCAACAATTAGATTTGTAAAGGTTAACTAACAAAAACAATGATATCATTAACTTTAGTCGACACATGAAAGGAATTAGAAGTTTTGAATATGAAACTTGTACATGGAAAATTGAATGAGATGTAACTAAATGACCTATATTTTATAATCCCAAGGTTTACACAGAGCAATAGCAATGAGTATCACAAAATACTTCAATGGAGTTTTAAAATCTCCTAGTTGTCTATGTATTTAGGGTGTGGTTTGTGCAATTTACTATAACATTATTTCATTATTTATCAAACATTCAAAATAAATAATATAATGTTTATCAATAAACAAGTCATTATTTTCTCCAAGTACAAAAATAAATTGATGTGTGTTGAATGATTCACGACGGTAGAGAGGGTCTTAGTGCTGCACAAAATTCTAGCACACACCCGAATATATAAAGTGACAGGTAGAGATGCCATAAGTTTTACGTGAAAAAACCTTGAAATGAGAAAAAAAATTGTGGGGCTTAGCCCAGTTGAAATAATCCACAACGTAATGACGAGTACACATGCATCATTCTTCTCCTGAGTTAGGGAGGATGGAAATTCAAAGTTGTTGTACAATGATATTTCAATAATAATGGTTGTAATGGGACGCAAAGGCCGTCGTCAATTGCTATGAAAGCAATAGTCCACCACGAATGTTGTAGACGGCAGATGTAGTAACAACTTGTCATAGAGGCCGTAGTTGAAAAGCGTTGTAGTAGTTGGCCATGTGGGTCATAGAAGATTGCTTTAGAAGAATCGGTTGGTCACAGAGGCTATTGTAAAAAGCTACAATAACATTTGTAGATCGCAGGAGCTTGAGTTGAGAGAAGCAGAAACTATGAGTCGCATAAGTCATAGTTGGTCACATAGGCAATAACAGAGATCTGAAATAACATTCATAGGCCCCAAATGCTAGAGTTGGAAGTTGCATGTAATAATGCTTGTAGGCCATAGAGGTCGGAGTTTGGAGCTACATGAACTGTGATAAAGTACGTTGGTCACATAAGCCAGGGTTGGGGGTTGCATGAGTTGTGATAATATCTGTAGGTCACATAAGTCGAAACTGGGAGCTGCATGAGTTGTGATAACATTCTTAGGCCACACATGTTAGAGTTAAAAGTTGCATAAGCTGCGAGAAAGTTTGTAGGCCATAAAAGATAGAGTTGGGAGCTGATGAATTGTAATAACACCCTTAGGTCACAAAAGGTTAGAGTTAGGAGCTAGATGAGTTGTGATAACATCCGTAGGATGCAAAAGTTCGAGTTGGGAGCTGCATTTGCTGTGATAATGTTCGTAAGTTGCATAAGCTTCATTGTGGCTGTATGAGCCGAGCTAAAATTTGTAGGCCATAGAAGCTTAAGTTGGTAGCTGCATGCAAAGAGATAACTTTCGTAGGCCAAATAGGCCAAAGTTGGGAGATGTGAGAATCGAGCTTCAGAAGTTCAGAGAAGATCGTCGTATTCTAAGTACCACAGTTGCAAGCAGTAATTACGGAGATTGTTGTTATATTATCTTTGGGCTGTATTACTACAATGTCTTAGGGATGCATCATTGCGCTATACGTGAGATGCGTCATTGCTCTGTAAAATATGTTGGGATTCTGCAGCGCGCGTTGTGATTTTACATGGGGATTTGTTGCAACAAGCAAGAGGAGGTCAATGGCGGTAGATGACAGCTCACACTACACGAAATGTTGATAATAGCGTCTGATATTTGTGTCAGATTTTTTCGACCCAAATATTAGAGTCGGATTTGCAGCTGTAAAGCGAAAAAAAATAAATTTTGATATTTGCAGCAGATTTTGTCTAGATTACGTCCAATAGTTTGATGCAAAAATTATTCTGAAAGCACCAAAACTTAAAGCGGAGTAGCGATGGAGTTTGTATTGACTTTGTGTCTAATAAAATGACACAAAAATTTTATTTGAAAGCATCGCACTAAATCCGACTCAAAGATAACGAAAAGTCTGCTGCAAATAACATGTCTTCCGTGTAGCTTAATTGTGTTGAATATGTTCGACGCAAGTTAGATGAAAAATTGATGCAAATGGCCTAAAATACGTATCATGTGCTCCTATCCTTATTTCTATTTTTCGCTCCTCTTTTGGTCTTCCCTTTCTACCCAAAGCAACCTCCCCTCTTCACTGAAACTCTCACCCCTCGCTTTCCTTCCTCCCCCTCCTGATAAGAGTGAAATATGTGATATTTAAGTAGCACATTTCCTCATGTTTTTACATCTTTTTGACTAATATTATACTTGAGAAATGTTTTTTTTTCATCTGAGGTGTGCAGAGGACAATGTGAACAAAGAATTTGAAGCAAAACATAACAAAAGCGAGCACACTAAAAGGAACTTGGACCATCACACCTGCGCTGCCAATACAATGCGCCCACTTTAACTTTGGCGCGTCTGCATCGTGTTCAGCGCCCCCATGCCTGTTGACCTCATTTTTATGAGGTATGTCTCCCTATCTAGAACCTTTAACTTAGCCATAAAATATCCATGCTGACTCTCTTACAATGCTGAATTGAGACCCATACTAATTAGAAAATTCAAACCACTTCTTAACTCATTGTAGTTTCATATTTGTGGTTTTGAATACTCAATATTTAGTTGAGTCAATTAAAACCAACATATTGAAACTCAAGTTGAGTTCCTATAAGAATTGGAGAAGCCATAAGGGGACCATTCAGTGTGTGTTGAGAGGCATGTTGACCTCACTTTTGGTTGAGGTCTAGAAAACTTCTTTAGTAGCCTAGGTCTAGCCATAGGACTTTCTATTGACTAGTCTTAGAAAATTAGAAAAGGTACCCCCACCATTAGAAATTCAAAACTCTTCTTTTTACTCAACTTGAAATTCCACATATTGATCTTAACCTCTAGCATTTAGTAGATAAGATCATTATAAGAGAATTTAAAAAGAGTCCCTATAGGATTACTTGGCTTTAAGATTGACCCTGGGTGTTGAATTGAAACTAGGGTACACCATATCTTCACAATACATTAATCCATGGTTCATTTAGAACGGATATCTATCCAATTCTATGTGAAATGCCTAACTTGGTCTTTTGCCCCTAGGCACCTCCAACAAATTACCGAACTGCCCTTGGGACCTAAATTTGGCTAAAATTCCCAAATTTTGC